GCCAGGATGGTCTTGATCTCCTGACCTCGTGATCCGCCCACCTCGGCCTCCCAAAGTGCTGGGATTACAGGCATGAGCCACTGCGCCTGGCCGTATCTTTTCTTTTTGAGATAGGGTCTCCCTCTGTCGCCCGGGCTGGAGTGCAGTGGTGCAATCTTGGCTCAGTGCAACCTCTGCCTTTTCGGTTCAAGCCATCCTCCCCACCTTAGCTGTAGCTGGGGCTACAGGTGTGCACCACCATGCTCGGCTAATTTTCGTTTTTTTTGTTTATAGAAATGAAGTTTTGCCACATTGCCCAGGCTGGTCTCAAACTTCTGAGCTCAAGTGATCCTCCCACCACAGTCTCCAAAGTGCTGGGATTGCAGGTGTGAGCCACCAAGCCCGGCCTGTCTCTATCTTTATCTAACAAAGAATTAATCTCTACCAAGAAATGGACTGACCTGCGCCCTCACTAGGGCACTTAAATGGATCAGTCCCACGTGTACATAAGGTGAACACAACATGGGGGAGGGAGGTGAAGAGGACTGTTTCATTGATTGCTTTCACTGTGTCAGGGTGATGTCACTGTTTGTATATTACAGGACGTCATCAGCTTAAGTTAATATTTACAAAACCACGATGCTTAAGTAGTGTAATCTTTACCATGCTTTGCAATGAGATGAAAATCTTTGGTGGTCCGGAGGTTAGATCATGATCTCCTTGTCAAAGAGCTGTCTTCCAGACCTGCTGACCTTTGCTGGGGGGCAGAGTGGCTACCAACAGCACACTGCTTGGCAACTGTGTTGAAAACGGACATACAGTAACACCGTCTTTATCTGTAAGTTTTAACACCTTATAATGTGTTATGTTTGTTTTAAAATTTTGACTTCAGTTTATATTGTAATGTATATATTAGTACATATATGTATCAGTAAATATATTGGAGCTATGTGCTTTCTACATTTTTACTATCAAAGATACAGGCTCTAGCTGGGCGCAGTGGCTCACACCTGTAATCCCAGCACTTTGGGAGGCTGAGGCGGGTGGATCACCTGAGGTTGGGAGTTTGAGACCAGTGCGACCAACATGGAGAAACCTTGTCTCTACTAAATATACGAAATTAGCCAGGCGTGGTGGTGCCTGCCTGTAATCCCAGCTACTCGGGAGGCTGAGGCAGGAGAATGGCTTGAACCCAGGAAGCGGAGGTGAGCCGAGATCGCACCACTGTACTCCAGCCTGGGCAACAAGAGCAGAACTCCGTCTCAAAAACAAAAACAAAAACAAAAAACAAGATCCAAAGTCTGGAGACCACTGCACCATGGGCTCGAGTCCATCTCTTTCTGCTGTCATCAGCTACCCTCTCAACAACGTTGCTTGTATGACCAACAGGCATTTTAAAATGAACATATCTAAAACTCAGCTCCCAGCTGGGTGCGGTGGCTCACACCTGTAATCCCAGCACTTTGAGAGGCCGAGGTAAGTGGATCACTTGAGGTTAGGAGTTGGAGACCAACCTGGCCAACATGGTGAAACCCCATCTCTACTAAAAATACAAAAAAAATTAGTTGGGCATGGTGGCAGCACCTGTAATCCGAGCTACTGGGGAGGCTGAGGTGAGAGAATCACTTGAGCCCAGGAAGCAGAGGCTACAGTGAGCCGAGATCACGTCACTGTACTCCAGTCTGGGTGACAGAGCGAGACTCTGTCTCAATAAGTAAATGAATCCCTCCCTTAACCCACTCTCTTCCATAAGTCTTGCCTATCTATTTCAGCCCAACTCCAAGGCCCCATACCTTGGTGTCATCCATGACCCTTATCCAATCACAGATCAGCAAACCCTTCTGGTACCATCAACAAACACCCAGAATGTAACCATTTCTTACCACCTGCACCTAGATGACCACAATGAACTCCTAATTCACCTTTTTCTCGCTTCTAAGACCATCTTGTTAATTGGAAGGAAGAGCAAGTCATTATGCAGCTGAAAACCCTCAAATGGCCACCCTATTTCTGAGAAAAAAACGAAAATTTTACAAGGCCTGTTCTGTTACCTCCACTGCTTTCTCTGAACTACCCTAGCCTCATGTTCTCAAACCTTAGAGGCATGCCCCATGCTTCTCCAAGGGCTCTCAGCTACGTCCTGAGACGTATCCCGTACCTGGAATACTCTTTCCATTATGGTGTGATCTCTGCTTCCTTCAGACTTTTACTCAAACATCTCATTCTGGGTGAGCCTACCCTGGCTGATGTAAAATTGCTACCCTTGGTTGGGAGTGGTGGCCCATGCCTGTAATCCTAGCACTCTGGGAGGCCAAGGAGGAGACCAGCCCGGCCAGAGGCAGGAGGATCACTTGAGCCCAGGAGTTAGTTGCAGTGAGCTGAGATGGCGCCCACTGCACTCCAGCCTAGAAGACAGAGTGAGACTCTGTCGGGACCATCCTGGCCAACATGGTGAAACCCCGTCTCTACTAAAAATACAAAAATTAGCGGGGTGCGGTGGCGCACGCCTGTAGTTCCAACTACTCGGGAGGCTGAGGTAGCAGAATCGCTTGAATCTGGGAGGCAGAGGTTACAGTGAGCTGAAATCATTCCAGTCTGGCGACAGAGAGACTTTGCCTCAAAAAAAAAAAAATAAATAAATAAATAAAATTGGTACCCTCTTCCCTAACACAAGCACCCTACAATCCCCATTTTTCCTGTATGTTCATCACTATTTTAAGATACCTTATAGTGGGGCAATAAGTAAAATATCTAGTAATTTCCATGAGAGCAGGGACTTCTGTTTTGTTCACCGATGTATTTCCAGTACCTAGCTTAATAAATATGTCACATATCTGAAGGTCCTACCAAAACTCAACCTCTCCTGGGACATCACTCTTCCCTGTCCTACCTTCGGTCGGCTGCCCCTCCCCCACACCTCATCGCCTCCTGTTCTAAGCTCACTCATTCCCTAAGACCTTCATCGCCTCCACCTATCCTAAATTTACTCATTCCCTAAGACCTTCATCGCCTCCACCTGTCCTAAGTCTACTCATTCCCTAAGACCTTCATCGCCTCCACCTGTCCTAAGTCTACTCATTCCCTAAGACCTTCATCACCTCCACCTGTCCTACTCGTTTCTGTCCCAAGTACCACTTCTCACTTAATTTGGTATCCCCTGCAGCACCCAGCATAGTCGTTGGCAAGCACAGGAACTTAATGGACTTATCTGTATACAGCTGGGCCCCTACTTTACCACAGCTCAAAAGCATTTGGTACATTCAACTTACGATGGGGTTGCGTGTGGGAAGCCAATGTGAGTTGAAAATATACAAAGTTAAACTCGCCTTTTGACTTAGGATATTATCAACTTGAGATGGGTACGGGAAACAGCCATCAATCCAGGAGCATTTGTATTTATTTTTCAAATGAACTGGATGTACAGGAAACCGGAGGAGAGAAGTTCAATGATAAATTTGGATTCCCCTTTAAAATTATCTCCCTCCTGGGTGTCGTAATTAAAAGGCAATGCGGGCACCTCCTGGGTTCTCAAACTTAGGTTTAATTAGATTCACTTGGTAAAAATGCGGAAACCCCGGTCTTATGCTTCTTCAATGAGACCAGGCCTCTGTTTTTTATTAGCTTTCTGGTGATTCTGACACACAGCAGAGTTTAAGAACCACCGTTCTAGAAGATGGCTAAAAATAGCCTAGGCTTAAGTGGTCGCTGGCCAAGTCAAGCACTGTGTTAAGACACCTGGCGGCAGGCTCAGTCCGCCCACGGTAGGAGAGATCCTCCAGAAAGGTTAAGAGGAAGCCGTCTTCAGGTCAGAAGCGCTGAATTCTAATCCTCTGGCCAGATGACTGTGTAACCCTGGCCCAGTTCTCTAGCCTCGGTTTGTCCATACTATGGAGTCAGAAATTATACGATTTCTTTTATTCACGCACAACTCACACGGATGCTGCAAGAAGGAGATTAGCTATATTAAACCAATGAAAAACTGCAGGAAAAAACGTAAGTTTACTTTCAGATCCAGAGCCCCGGTTTCCTAACCTTGAAGGCGTGCAGGCCCTCTGGGGAATCTGGGAGACCTGGGGGGAGCCCTGCCAAATAAATGGACCGGCCCTGGAGCGGGACTACCTCGCCCCCTTCTCCCCGGCTTTCTCCCCCGCATCTCCAAGCCAGTGTCAGGGCCTGCCCCGGGCGCCACAATCTCCAGCCAGTGCCAGGCAGCCCTGCGGTCCAGGCTGGCCTGGAGAGGGTCAGAGCTGCTCGCGAACCGGGGACGCACGTGGCCCGGCCCGGGCCGGGGCGGGGGGGTGCTCCGCCTGCAAGCCGCCCCTCGTCGGGCCTACCTGGGCCGAGGTGCTGAAGCTGCGGCGGAGAGCAGCGCTGGCAGGCCGGGCGAGGGCGGAAAGCATGGCTGGAGCGGGAGGGGCGCCGACGGACAGACACAGGAGCTGCTGACAGGCAAGTGACTCCAACGACCTCCACACTCCGCAGCGGTCCCGGCTCTGCTCCGTGGGGCCTCGCGAGAGTGACCGGACTTCCGGTCGCGCTCACCTCCGGGATTTCGTGAGATCACGGCCACTTCCGGGAGTCGGGAAGGAAGGTTCCGGGACGCCCCTGGCAACCGTGGTGTTTGGCTGGGTCATAGCCTGGCCGGTGGGGGACCTGTGGTCGGAGTGGGAGGGGCAGTCCGCACCCAAGAGGTAGAAGAGGACGGGCTTTAGGCTGGAAGCGCCTTAGAGGAGCCATTTTTCCAGGTGGGGTCCCAGGCAGAGAGGCTCGGACAGGGAACCTGGCCAGAGTCGCGCAGCCTGGGAGGTGGAGTGAGTCCCAGACCCGAGACCCTGTCCTCACCCAAACCCATCCCTTCCGCCCCTGGAGACCAGCGGGGGCTCTGAGCTCCGGAAAGGCACGGGCTGGGGAGGCTGAGAGTCCTTGGGCGGGGTGGGAGGAAGGGGTCATCTCCTCAGATCCGGGCCGTCGTCCCCCAAGTTGCAGAGACCCTTGGGTTCGTACAAAAAATTCATACAAAAAATACAAAAAATTAGCCGGGCGTCGTGGCGTACGCCTGTAATTTCAGTTACTTGGGAGACTGAGGCAAGAGAATCGCTTGAACCTGGGAGGCAGAGGCCAAGATTGCGCCAGTGCACTCCAGCCTGGGCAACAAGAGCAAAACTGTCTTGGGGAAAAAAAAAAAGTATCAATACAAGAGAGTTTATGGCGACTGTTGTACTCTCCTTCCTCTCTTCCACTTCTTTATTGAACTGCTAAGATATGCCAGCCTGGCTGGGGGCAGTGGCTCACGCCTGTAATCCCAACATAGCAAGACCCAATCTCTATATTTCATTTTTAAAAGAAAAAAAATTTTCAAAAAGATACGCCAGCCCAATTTGGGAGCTGAGTGTTTTGCTGTGAACAGGATCTACACATTCTTTGCCTTTAGGGAGCTCAGTCTAGTGGGAGAGACAAGTAAATTGCAAGCAGCACAAATGAACAACAATAGAAGTGTGAAGTGCTGTAGGGACGCAGAGGAGGTACGTTTAACCCAGGATTGGGATGGGGGTAGGCGCTGTGTGAGAGAGGACCTTCCAAAGCTGAGATGTGGCCCCATATAGTGGGTCATGCCTGTAATCCTAGCACTTTGGGAGGCCAAGGTGGGAGGATTGCTTGGGGCCAGAAGTGTGAGACTAACCTGGGCAACATAGTGAGACCCCCCATCTCTCTCTCTATATATGTATATATAATAGATTTTTTTAATGTTAATTTTTATTATTTTGAGACAGAGTCTTTGTCATCCAGGCTGGAGTGCGGTGCACAATCTCTGCTCACGGCAGCCTCTGCCTCCCAGATTCAAGCAGTTCTCCTGCCTTATTCTCCTGAGTAGCTGAGATTAGCGCGCCATCACACCTGGCTAAATTTTTGTGTGTTTAGTACAGACGGGGTTTCACCATGTTGATCAGACTGATCTCGAACTCCTGACCTCGTGATCCACCCGTTTCAGCCTCCCAAAGAGCTGGGATTACAGGCGTGAGCCACCGCGCCTGGCCTTGTGTATATTTTTAAAATTAAAAAACAAACACCGCCAGGCAAGGTGGCTCATGCCTGTAATCCCAGCACTTTGGGAGGCTGAAATGGATTACTTGAGGCCAGGAGTTCGAGACTAACCTGGCCAAAAATGGTGAAACCCCGTCTCTACTAAACATATAAAAATTAGCCCAGCATGGTGGTGCACACCTGTAGCCCCAGCACTTTGGGAGGCCAAGGCGGGTGAATCACCTGAGGTCAGGAGTTTGAGACCAGTCTGGCCAACATGGCGAAACCCCATCTATACTAAAAATGCAAAAAGTAGCCGGGCATGGTGGCATGTGCCTGTAGTCCCAGCTACTTGGGAGACTGAGGCAGGAGAATTGCTTGAACCGGGAGATGGAGGTTGCTGTGAGCCGAGAGTGTGCCATTGCACTGCAGCCTGGGTGACGAGCGAAATTCTGTCTCAGAAGCGCACACACACAAAGCAGATAAGCTGAGACATGCTGGAAGAATAGAGTAGGTGTTTTTCAATGGAACTGTTAATTCCAGAGGAGGGAGAGATCCTTTGCCTGGGAATCGGAATTGTCAAAGGAGGGGCACTAGGACCTGGATATTTAACAATAGGAAATGTTTAGACAGGAAAGGAGGAGAAAAAGGGCCAAATAAAAACCTGGAGGGGGAAAAAATAAGCATAGGCCAGTATTCAGGGGACAGTAAATAGATCATTTATTTTGGAATGGGGACATTAGGACAAGCAATGTCCCTTATCACTGACTGCATACTCTGGTAATTATTTACTCCTCTGTAAATTAGAACTAAGAGCACCTCGGAGCCTGGTACTCTTTCATCTCTGTGCCTTTTTTTTTGTCCAGCATGTGACTGGGCTGAGAGTGGACCTCAGTGAATTTGAGGAGAGTTGAATGGTTTTAGTTACAGCTGGAAACAGCAGATTGGGAAAAACTAGATTGTGCTGGTCCTATGAGTTTGTATTTCATTTCTTGGGAAGCAAGTGTTTTTGTTTTTGTTTTTTTTTGAGATGGAGCCTCACTCTGTTGCCCAGGCTGGAGTGCAGTGGCGTGATTTTGGCTCACTGCAACCTCCGCCTCTGGGTTCATGCGATTCTCCTGCCTCAGCCTCCCGAGTAGCGGGGGTTACAGGCATGCAGCACCACACCTGGCTAACTTTTGTATTTTTAGCAGAGACAGGGATTTGTCATGTTGGCCAGACTGGTCTTGAATTCCTGACCTCAAGTGATCTGCCCGAGTCAGCCTCCCAAAGTGCTGGAATTACAGGCATGAGCCACTGTGCCTGGCCAATCAGAGGCTTTTGTGACACGGCCAGAACTGGGTTTGAGGAAGATTTGACTGACCTCACATGCTAAGGATTCCCAGAGGAAAAAAAGAGGGCAGGGAGATTGTTTAGGAATCTATTTTATGGATGACAAAGGTCTGAATTATGGTGGTGGCCATAGAAATGGAGTGGGTGGGGCCAGTGTGGGAGAAGTATCATGGGAAGAATGGGTGAGAGTCGTGCTCATCTGGGTTTGAGGAATGAATGAAAGGGGTGTGGAAAGTACATAAAGAGGGAAGTCAGGTTACACCAAAGAGCTCCATTTTAGATGAGCTTAATTGGGAGTGATGCTGAGTTGTCCGTCAGTGGTCTGGGCCAGGCTCATGCCTGTAATCCCAGCACTTTGAGTAGCCAACACGCACGATCATTTGAGCTCAGGAATTCAGGATCCACCTGGATAACATGGCAAAACCCGGTTTCTACAAAAAGTACAAAAATTCTCTGGGCATGGTGGTATGCACTTGTAGTCCCAACTACCTGAGAGGCTGACATGGAATGATCGCTTGAGTTTAAGCGATCTGGAGAGGTAGAGGCTGCAGTGAGCCATGATTGCACCACTGCATTCTGACATGGGTGACAGAGCAAGATTTGTCTCATTTAAGGAAAAAAAAAAAAAAAAAGAACGGTAGGATTGAAACTCAGAGGCCAGGGCAGAAGTCACCTCTGTAGAGGGGGAGCGTTGAGACCATGAGCAATAAACTGGAATCACAGATTGTCAGGCTCGCTCCCACATCTGGAATTCAGTTCCCTCCACATTCCTCCCGAGTTCCTCTTCCACAGAAGAGCCTTCCACAGAAGGCTACCTCCCAAGCCTTCTACTTGGGCCATCCCAAACAACTTGACTACCAGAAAAGCCTCACATTTGGCCGGGTGCAGTGGCTCTTGCCTGTAATCCCACCACTCTGGAAGGCCAGGGTGGGAGGATCACTTGAGCCCAGGAGTTTGAGACCAGCCTAGGCAACACAGGGAGACCCTGTCTACAAATAATAAAAATAAGCCAGTCATGGTGGTATGTGCCTGTGGTCCCAGTTACTCAGGAAGCTGAGGCAGGGGAATTGAGGCTGGGAGGTCGAGGCTGCCGTGAGCTGCACCCCAGTCTGGGTGACAGAATGAGACCCTATCTCAAAGGAAAAAAAAAAAAAGGCCTCACATTCAGCTCCTATCTGCCTCTATCTAAGGAAATACCAAGGTAATTAACAACAGTCTTAATGGCTGCTGTTTCAAGCACTGTGTGGTAGGCATTGATTTTACTTGGTGTTTTGCAAATAAAACTTTATTGAACAAGCAGGGTTTCCACAGTCAAGAAGTAGAATCCAATCATACAACAGCTTTCTGTCTTTAAATCTTTGCTTGCCCTTGGATTCCATCTGGTTACCAGGACAGGCTCACTGCAATGGCCACAGTGTCCGGTTCACGTTAATAATCAAAACTAGGAATTTAATTCAAAGGTAAAGCTGCTTCTCTTCGCCTCTCAAGCTTTCTTTGAGCTCCCACGTAGGAGGAGGACAGTAGTTGACTTCTGTTTGTTTCCTCTTCCATCCCACCCCACCCCAGGCCTACTGTGGCTTCTGAGGCATCCTGTGTTGGCAGAGGGGGTTATAAGAGTAGAGATGGGGCAAGAAAAGTGCCTTCGACATCTGGCCTTGTTACTGTCTCAGCTTGATGGGAATTTGTAACTGACTCTCCCATGCAGTGCTTCTGGGGGTCTTTCTTACCTCCATTTCCCGTGATCCAGGTGGCCGTCTCAATCTTGCTGCTTTCAATTCCTCCGTCAGCCCCTGGCTTCTGGAATCCTCCACCACATGCCATTGGCCTATTGTCCCTCTAGGTGGCCCTCTTGGGCAAAGTTCCTTTAAAATGGCTTCTCGGCCGGGTGCGGTGGCTCACGCCTGTAATCCTAGCACTTTGGGAGGCTGAGGCAGGCAGATCACCTGAGGTCAGGAGTTTGAGACCAGCCTGCCCAACATGGTGAAACCCCGTCTCTGCTAAAAATACAAAAAATTAGGCTTGGTGGCGGGTGCCTGTAATCCCAGTTACTCGAGAAGCTGGGACAGAATGGCTTGAACTGAGACGGAGGTTGCAGTGAGTCAAGACTGCACTTCAGCCTGGGTGACAGAAAGCGAGACTCCATCTCAAAAAAGTAAAATAAAAATGAGTAAAACAGCTTCTAGTTGGCCTTCTCCCCTGCCTGGTCCACATCTGGTCTACAGGAAACACTTAGGCATCCTTTGCCCCAACAGATTCTAGGGGTGCAGGCCATTTCAAATGCAGGTGCCTCTTGCTTTGCCAACAGTTCGCCAGCCTCACGCCAGCCTCGGATTTCCAGCCCGAAGCCCAGCACCAGCCTCTGTGCCTGCACAAGCTTCAGAGGGCACAGGTC